CTGCCCACCGTGGGGGTCCCCCAGCCCCTGCCACCCTCTACCCTGTGTCCTGGAGCTGCAGCACATGGCAGGCAGAGTGGGCATGGCCTGGGGGCACCCTGGCAGGCCCCTTGACATGGGGCAGATGGAGAGGGTGCAGAAGTTGCTGCAGGCAGGCAGCATGCCATGCCATGCCACCAAGGGCAGGGATGCTGCAGAGCGCCTGCGATGGGTAGCAGCAGAGCTGAGCCATGACGGGACTCTGATGGGCCAATGGGACTCCCACCCAGGGCACAGGGCTCCCTTCCCCTGGGCTTTTCCATGCCGACAGGCAATGCTGTTCCCTGCAGGTCCAGGTTTCTGGGTGAGGGGATGGCTGCCCACCCTGAACCCTGACCTGCAGCCCCATCCAGCACTGCCCCAACCACTGGCCCCTCTGGTCCAACCCACTGGCAGCCCCAGGACTGCAGTCCCAGGGTCCTCCCTCACAGCTGCCAGGTGCCCTGGTTTAGTCACCATCTGTGAGAGGAACCAAGATGAAAAACCCACATCAGGCCACGGGGCCGGTTTTCCATGGAAATGTCACTGCCCTGCAGCACAGCTCCAACATCAGCTGCGTCGCCGCAGTGCGAGCAGTGGCCCTGTCTGGGGGCCAGCTGCCCAAGCTGTGGTGCTTAGTGCCCTCTTGAAGGGGAGATGCCTTTCTGCCCCAGAACAGGCGCTTGCCCTGCCCTTCTATCCCCCCTCCTTGTCTTTGCATGGTCCCAGCTGCCTGCTTGTCCCCATGTGCCAGCATGGCCACCCCAGCTAGGACCCCAAGGGCAAGCTGGTGACAGACAACACATTGCTATTATGCTATTGCCTTTGTAAAACTCCCAAGCCTGTCATCTGACCAGGGTGTCCTTGACCATCAGCAGCATTTCTTTGGAGACCTGGAAAAGCCCAGGGGACACTGTGTCCTGGAGGGTACATGCAGTTATCATATGTGTGATGATTGTGGGACACTCTCAGCTTCAGGGGACAGGTTTAGGGCTGCTGGCAAAGAGAAGCATAAAGGAATGACAAAGTTGTCCCTGACATGGGGAGGGGATGAGCGATCTGTGCCTGGACTCTGCCTGTTCCAGGAGCCACAGCCAGCAGGAGGGCAGGGATGCTGTACCACACAGCAGCATCACTGGGATGGTGTCCTGGTCCCCACACCCCTGATGCACTCAGGACACAAGACAGCAGACCCACAGGCGGGCATGACAAGCTGTTACGCTGTGTGCTGCAATCCCCTCTGCCCTGTGCTGCAGTGGCACAAAGGATTTCTGTGCTCACCCTCTGCCAATGCCCTTCCTGGCAGAGTTGACTCAAACCAGAGGGCTTTGTCTCTCCAAGGGCAGCAGCCTGGATCCAGGGACACCTGCGCTGCCATCAGCCCGAGCCTGGAAGCCTGGCGGCCCTTGCGTTGCAGCAGCCATCCAGGTTGGCAGCAAGGTATGCACTGGGCCACCCCCTGCCTGGGGCAGGATGGCAGGGGAAAGGGGGTTTTGAGAATCTGCTCTGCAGCACCCTTTTCTTCCTGGCAGCAGAGGTGGTTTGGTGATGGTTGGAGCTTGATGTTCTCCATAGTACTAACACATCTTGCTGGGCTGTGAGATCACAGAATGGTAAGGGTCTTGGGAGATCATCTAGTCGAATCCTCCTGCTAAAGCAGGTTCACCTAGAGAATGTTGCACCAGACATCATCCAGGTGGGCTTCGAATATCTCCAGAGAAGGAGACTCCACACACCCCCCCCCGGCAGCCTGTTCCAGGGCTCTGTCACCCTCAAAGTAAAGAAGTTCATCTCTGACCCCAGCAAGATGCCAGCAGCTGCGTCATCCCCGTCCCACCATCCGGATGTTGGCTCAGCCCTGCCCATCTCATCAGCTTGTCTGCGTTCAACGTGCCCACGTCCTCGAGTCCTTTGCTCCAATTTCAAACACTAAATTAACTTGAGGATTAACGTCAGTAACAAAGAGCCCGTTTTGGCGCCCGTGGTTGCAGACGGGGCACTTTTCCGAGCCCTGGAAGCAGCGCCGGCCACGGCTGCTTCGTACAGCCTGTCCTTGACCGCTGGCTTTTGCACAACAGTTTTGCCT